CGCATAAGCGCAAAGTCTAGCCGATTCGGATCATCGAAGTTGAAGTCACCCTGAGAACCATCCATGGTAACACAGTGAGAAAAGCCTCCTACTTTCAATGCCACTTCGTGATCGGCTCTAGACAAAGTCCTGTAGTACTGGTCGGTCGAGAAGGTCACCGTACGCGTCTGAGGAGAGCAGATGGTACTCGAGGGTTGTCATTCACAGTACTTTCTTAACGCCTAGTCTCCGCATTATCTCGGCACAAAGACTGGTCTTGCCAGCGGCTGAGGCACCAGCCACACCAATGACGAAAGACTCTGGAAAAGAGGCATTCGGCAACTGTGACGGTGTTGAGGACAACGACTCTACTGATGCAGGGGAGCCACCTGCGTATTCACGACTATAACGGTGGACTACTGTGAGGAAGAGGAAGTCCCCCTTCTTACCGCTGGCATCCCTAGTAGTATCACTCGACGAGGCCGTGGTAGAGTTCTCCTCCACACCATCGAGCATTGGCATCACAGCCTAAGGTAATGGTCCTAGTATGATATTTGGAATCCTCCTTACCTCTGGCAATTCGAGAGATTCGGCGCCATCGAAAACGGGGGCGTTGGCGCTTATTTGCTTTATAGTGCTGCCTGGAGAGGCGACAGGTTGACGACTAGGAGAGAGAAGAATGGAAGAGGCACCGCTCATAGTCAATCACTGACGATACTTCAAACTGCTTCTGGTACGTCCGAACAATAAAAACCCGACATACAAATCGATCATCATGGCGCGCGCGAGTGACATTCTTCTCTAGGGTCAGTACTACACTTCTTTGGCAGAATACGTCCTTGCTTCAGGCCTTTTTTATTGCAGCCATTCGAACGATAGATATGCCTTCAACACCACCACATGAACCGAGATCGGGTGATAACCTCTCCGATGACCCTCTGGGCGAAGCTAGTTTTACTCCGCAACACGTGATATGCGTGAACCCACTGTGCAGGAGGAAGTGGAAGCAGTTGACTCCCAAGAGCATCCCTATGTTCTGTCCGAGCTGTAAGAAAGCTTCTGAGCTAGGCCTTTGGGAGACCTGGGAGGGCGTCGTCACTGACGACACTTTTTATTATAACCTACTGAAGTACTGGTATGCTATTTACACGGACATCGCATCGATCTTGGGATACCCCAAGAGCACCGACCTCAACCTACCGCAAGACCCAACGGATGTCACCATAGTCAACGTGATGGACTTCTACCACGAAGCGTTTCCGGAGCACCCAGTTCCCGAAGACGTCCGAAACTGGAGCTCCATGGGCCAGCGGAAGAAACAACTGACTGGCACCATCATAAGGCAGTGCGGTAGGCTACTCTGGGGACTCACTGTATTGGAGGATCCACAGCAT